ACTGACTGCACGATGGGTGGAATAGGCCTGGTTTGGTATTCAAACAAGAGTAGAGAGAATACAGCTTTCTTTACTTTCATATTAATAAAATAATAACAATAAGGGTTAACAGTAATTAGGTCTTTTTCATGGTATATCTCATTAATATTTGCAAAAAATAAAAAGTATGTACTTGAACCAAATTATACACAGGCCTCAACCCAGGATTATAAGCCATTTGATGGTTCATATGTGCTGAGGATGTTTACTTTGGGGAAAGTGAAAATTCTGGGTGACATTTGATTTCTGCTTTTAGAAAGGAGTAGGTTGAGAACAAAGCTAGAGATCTGTGAGTGAGAAAGTGTGAAAAAGAAGCAGTGCAATTTTAGCGTTAAAAGACTAGCAATCCAGTTTTAGCCCAAGATGAAGAAACTGAGACCAATAGGGTAAGATTTCTCAAGCGTCCAGCTGGTTGCAAACTGCTATTCCCAGTCTGCTCACTGAATAACGCTGATTGCATCCTATGAAGCTGAGTGAAGAGTAAGTGGTAAGGTGGAAAAAATCCTAAGGAGGACAGAACGGAAACACCATTCAGGGCCAGTTTGGCATCAAGACCATTTTGAGCCTATAAATCCATGACAGGATCTAACGTCTATAGCTGTGAGACATCAACTCTCATAGAGTCAAGGTCAAGTTGCCTCAAAGGCAATTTCATCATCAGGGACCACTGACTTGACTTGAATTCCGGGGGGCAGGGCACCATTATCAACAACAAGTTGAAACAGGTACCAATCTCCCTACCCTCTAAATATCACTACACGGAGAATTTTCCTGGGTCAAAACATAGGAGAGTGGATCACAAAAGCCTCTATAGTGGGTTTTTTTTAAACAAAAGGGAACAGAAGAAATATTTGAATGATATCCTAAACTATATGCTAGAATAGTGGACATACACCGCAGTAGCAGGAAACAGCTGAGATTGTAATCCTTAATAGTCCTCTTAGCCAAGGCTCTTCGCTTCAGTCAAAAAAAAAAAAATGAGCTCTTGAGTAGCTTTAGCTCTCACTGAAATGGTGCTTTTCTGCACTGATCCCTTTCATCAGACCTGTAAACACTGAAAGTCGTTGTCACAAGCAGTATTTTTTGAACTCAAGGACTGAATTCAGGCACGGACTAAGGGCACCTGTTTAGGTTAGATGGCCTTTGTTTACATCTCTGGCTGTCTGCTTCTCTCCAACTTCATAAAGGAAAGAAAACATATCACTCTTACATGAAGTAAGGCAGTTTGTATGGTGGTTTTTTGTAATGTAGGTTTTTCTTGAACTGACATGCTAGAATTGAAAAGCGATACCTATAGCTTTTATATTCCTTCCAGCCTGCAAAATTGAGATTACTTTCCAAGTCCTTTTTTAGGTTACTCTCTGAAAGGACTACATTCCTTATGACATAATTGTGATTTTAAAAAACCATTAAAAAATTTCCTGTAACTTCGAAAAGAGAGATTCTGCACTTTGTTCTGAAATCAAACTCATGCACAGAAAATATTTTAGTGTGGTTCACAGTATAAGGCACTGGGAAACCTTCACAAAGGTAGCAGGAGCCAAAGATAAACTAATCTTTAGATATATAAAGTAAAAAGCTTCTATGGGGAATAAACTATGCAAAACAAAATTTTAATAAAAGGCAGCGTTTCATAATGGCAAACAAAGCCCTGTGGGTTTTTAAAGAGAGGAGAAGGCTTTACAGGTTGATGCTCCTCCAGTTACCTTCTAGAGCTAGTAGGAGGTAAACCCATTGGCTGGAGAAGGAATGGGGGAGTTGTAATTCACACGAGGAGGAAAATATCTGCCAATACGGTGGTTTTTCTAAATATTTAGGTGAATGTTCTTGAAATGCTATTTTAACATCTTTCCCACTCTTTTTCAATATTTAAACTTTACCTGGTTTATGATTACATTTTAGCTTCTTTCACCTTTCATTTCTCCTCAGTAGGAGTTTCTTTACTGATTTATTGATCTCTTTGACTGAACATGTCTTCAAAGAAAGGAAATCAGTTGGCTTAAACCAAGATCAGATGATCACTACATCAGACCAAGCACACAATCTCAGGGTGACTTTTCATTAAGCAAGGTTACTAGACATGGTAAGCTACTCGGATAAGAATTGAGGGAAGTTCACTGTATTTTTTGGATGTGTAAGTAAAGGTTCTCAACTCTTAGTTTTTTTTCTAGGGCCAGAGGAGTCTTTCATGTGTTAGACAGTATAAGGTACTGGGATATGGTTTATGGAGAGGAGGAAATGAAAAATACAGAGAAGAAAATGGGCAAAAATATAATCTTGTCCTCTGTGTAAAGACATTAACCTTCTTGAATTGCTCTACTTAAGCAATACTTTTAAAAATAATTTTCTCAATATTCAAAGATGCATTTTTTTTTCACCTTTATATCCTGAAGTTTTCTCATTCCTCTCATTTATTCATCCATCCAATATGGAATGTTAGGCATAATTCCAGCCTCTGGAATACATTGGCTAAGAAGAGTTTACATCCTAGCTGAAGTAGATATTTAAAAAATGGGGTTAAAAAAACCCAAAGGGCATAATTTCAGATGCTTGTAGATAAGATTAAAAACCAAAACATAATATGGGAAAGAGGTGAAGTCAGATAGGCCGACAGGTTCAGTTCAGACAGGACCTTTGGTAAAGAGTTCAGATTGTTTTATTTGTAATGGGAGATCACTGGAAGGTTTTAAGCAGGGAGTGATAATGATTAGACTCGTGTTTTAAAAGGGTGTTTCTGGCTGTGGTGTGTAGTACGAACTATAAGACAATAGGAGTTAAAGCTGGGAGACTAATTTGGAGGTTGTTGCAGGAATACAGATGGGGCATGATAATGGCTGGGGCTAGGATGGTTGCAATGGCCAAAATTTAAATGTATTTTGGATACAGAGCCAACAAGTCTTACTGATGGAGTAAAAGAGGAATCAGTGTTTGCATAAAATGAAAAAGGAATCAGACATGATACCTAAGCATAGACCTGAGCAATAGGAGGGATAGAATTCTTTTGCAGAGGAATTTTAGTTGCTTCCTAATACACGTGTAGTAATTTTTGTCTCCTATTTTCCAGCATATGTATGAAGTGGTTACATGATAAAGATCTTGTGTTGTTCAGGGAGAAGTCCATAGATGACACCCACATTTTTATGCCTTCCAAAACCATATATCCAATCACATATTTGTTATCTCCGCCTTGGATTTCTAAGAGACCATTTTTAAAATGAGACATTCCTGCTGCCACCCTAGTCAGGTCTTGAACTAACGTAACCGCCTCCCAACCAGTCTATCTGGTCTTAACATTTTCCTAGTCATTCTTCACATGATGGTCCAAAGGACCTTTCAAAATCACAATTGCTTTCCTGCCTAAAATCCTCTGATGGCTTCCCGTTGTAATTTGAACAAAATCTTATCTTCTTGCCTGGACCTCTAAGATCCTACGACATCTGGCTCTGTCAGCTTCTCTGGCCTCATCAGCTACTCTTCTCTGGCCTCGTTCTGTTCCTGCCTTTCTTTCTGTTCCTTGAACTTGTATAGCTCATTATTGCCCCAGGGTTTCTCTTCCTGCTGTTTCCTCTGTCTGAAATGCTGTTTCTCAACATCTTCCCATGGTTAGTTCTATCTGATCATTCAGATCTCTGGTCATATAGCCCTCCGGCAGAGCAGCTGTCCCTAACCACACTCTAAACAGGAACTCCCAAAGATACTCTCTACAGCATTATTCTGTTTGCCTTTCTTTCATAGTGCTTCTCTTTAACTGAAATTATCTTATTTGTTTTCTTCTTCTTTGCCTTTTTCTTCTCTGGAATTCTCACCCTTGCATCCTTACTACCTAAAACAGTATTGGCACACAGTAAGTAATAAGATTTTGTTGAATATATGAATTCCCACTTTGTGCAACATTTTGATAGGACAGAATTGGACACAGGCATAGTATGAGGCGATGACAACATATGTCCCATCCAGTGACCAACACATCATGTGATAGCATTAACAAATTAAAATTTAGAATCGGAAATGTTAAAAGAACTATCCTAGCACTTTGGGGAAAAGACACTAAGAAGACAAAAGGCAGTTAGCATATACTATATAAATACATGGTGGCATAAAATATATCATCTGTTGACAGTCTGTAACAGTGTTAGGCCCTCAATACATTTTTTTGTTGAGTGAGTAAATGAATGAATGAAAAGCCCCCGCATGATTTGACCAAAGGTAAAAGGGAAATGACTTAACCTAGACTAATTGAGATGTTTTTATTCTAAAACAGAAATTCTGCTGAGAGGGAGAAAAGCAAAGTTTAATCGAAGCAGACCCATTTTAAACAGAACTACCTTTAGCACCATAACTATGAAAGCAGAGAGAGACCTCTCCTTCTGTCTTGCTAAGTGTGGGGCAAGTCTGAGCACCTTTTTGTCACTTGCTCAGCGAGAGGTGGATACCTCACTCCACTGCCTTGGGTGCTTCTTTGGAAGAGTCACGTAAGTCAGGTGACCACATAAATCTTATTCCCAATTACTCATATAACTAGTGAACATTCGACACGATAATTAAACACTAGCTTCATGTTTCTTGACCCTTTTATCCTCATTAGGACAGCATGAACTGAGTTGTTAAACAAAGCGGGACACATGTTTTTATTGAAATGAATATTAGGACTGATACCTCTTCCTAAAAACATAGCCAATTTGGGGATAAAATCAAATTCAATTTGCATTATTTTTGTTTTTCAAAAAATCCTAAACCGAAATGGCAAGGGAAAACAGAAACCTTCATATTTAAGGGTTATAAAATACCTTTCCGGAAAAAGAACAAATTAAAACTCATACCATATTTAAACCTATGAAAATAAACAATAAAAAATAAAAATAAACAAAATGGCTGTATTTATGTGATGAATAGTAACCATTACGAGTAATAGCAGTTAATAGAATACCACCAACAATAATAATGCATCCGAAAATTCTTACCAAGCCACCGCCAATGACAGCTACTTTTTTCCTTCGAACGTCAGATGAGTCCATAACTGCTGAAGTATTTTTCACAATTATTGTTGCCTCTGTCACTGAGGGACACTTATTTGTGTCTCTCCTACACACTGATTTCTCTTAGTTATTATACCGCCCAAAGCCCAGTGCATTTATGAGCCAGCAGCAATGTTTAGTCAGGGCTAATTTCCCTTGAAAGCATTAACCCTTTAGTCGGCCAAAGTACAATCAGCTCAGCTCTCAGAAAAAGTAAATTCATTAGAATAACCAAATTTTTAAAAGATCCATCAGATTGGAGACATTCTATCTTTTCTATCTTCTGTGTAAGACACGGAACTTTTTAAGCAGTCTTATGGCTTTTCTTCTTCTTTTTCTACAGTATATATTCTTAGTTTCATTTTCATTCATGATTAACCATGAATGAAATCTGGACTTCTCCCCTGAAGTCCAAAACCATCTTATACCTCCCTTACAGAGTCAGACGACATGGTTCCATAAGTCATCTGTGGATCATTTTTGTTACTGAGACCAATCAAGAATTCCATCTAAAGGGTCCTGATGGATTGTCTTTAACAGGCTCTACCAGGGAAATTTTCTATCAAGGCCTTAATATTCTCTTGATCAACATTTTGAATTGTGCAACTGACTATACTTCCCTTTTTTCTTTTTTCAGCCCAGATGCTAGAAAATTTAGAATCGAATTTGCACATTACCACTAGGGGAGATCATTAACACAATGCTTCTCTAAATTCATTCCGAATCACAATTTTTTTCTGGAATATAATGTGGTGTAATATAAAATAAGAACATAAATGATCATGTTTCTTCACTTCCTGTGAAGCTCATAAAGAATTCAGAACATTTTTTCCTCTGGTTAGGAACTAGAGTTAAATGGCATTCAATAGTGACCCCTTGTGGATAAGTGTGATTAGGTATTTCATTTATTTTGAGTAGGTAATACATTAACATGGTATGAAAATTTAGAAGACAGGGCCGGGCGCGGTGGCTCACGCCTGTAATCCCAGCACTTTGGGAGGCCGAGGCGGGTGGATCACAAGGTCAACAGATTGAGACCATCCTGGTCAACATGGTGAAACCCCGTCTCTATTAAAAATACAAAAAATTAGCTGGGCATGGTGGCGCGTGCCTGTAATCCCAGCTACTCAGGAGGCTGAGGCAGGAGAATTGCCTGAACCTAGGAGGCGGAGGTTGCGGTGAGCCGAGATTGCGCCATTGCACTCCAGCCTGGGTAACAAGAGCAAAAACTCCGTCTCAAAAAAAAGGAAGAAAGAAAGAAAGAAAGAAAATTTAGAAGACACAAGAGTAGACAGTGAACAGTAATCCTTCTAACCTTTTGATCCTTGGCCACCTATTTCTGCTGCCCAAAGACAACAACTGTTTTGGGTGTGGGTTACCATATTCTTCTACAAGCTTATTATGTCTTTCTTGTTCTTTCCTTGTTTTCTATCTTCTCTCTCTCTCTCCTTTTCTCTTTCTCTCACTCTTTCCTTTCCTTCCTTTTTTTTTTAACATACATTTTAAAACTTGTTCCACACCATATTTTTTACTTTACAACATATAGCTTGAGAAGTCTTCAATACCAATATGTAAAGAACTGTATTGTTAAAAAATCTTTGAAATATTATGAACAATAACACAAATGAACAGTAAAGTTGCTGTAAAGCAAGCATCCATGTTACTACCATTTAGGTCCAGAGACCATTGCCAGAATCCTAGCAGTCTAGGCGCCCTTGTTAATCATCCCTCCTTCATGGAGGTAACCGCCGTACCAACTTTCTTTGCTTTTATTTATACCTGTACCACCACAGATGCATCCCTTTTTTGAACTTTCCTATAAATGAACTTATACTATTTATTTTTTTGCAACTTGCTTCTTTTTCTCAGTATAATATTTCTTAAGATCCATTTGTGTTATTGTTTGTTTTTCTAGTTCATTCATTTTTATCGTCATATATTGTTTATCCATTCTACTGTTGATCGATATTTGGGGTGTTTCCAAATTTTTAATATCATGAATAATGGTGTTGCCATAAACACTCTTGTGTATGCAAAGTTGTGTACATATGTATGAGTATCTCTGGGATTCATATGCTGTTTATGCTTTCTTTTCTTTTTCTTTCTTTTTTTTTTTTTTTTTTTTTTTTTTGAGATAGAGTCTTGCTCTGTCACCCAGGCTGGAGTGCAGTGGCTCCATCTCGGCTTACTGCAACCTCTGCCTCCCGGGTTCAAGTGATTCTCCTGCCTCAGCCTCCCAAGTAGCTGGAATTAGCTCCTTCTTCCTTCCTTACTTCCTTCCTTCTTTCCTTCCACCCGTCTTTCTTTCCTATTGACTGGATGAATAATAAATTTTTCTCTTCACCATAATTATGGTAGTTACTCTCTCTCTCTCTCTCCTACTGACTAATTGAATAATTCCCTTTCATGCTGGCTAGTACCTCCAGTACAGGGTGAAATAGAGGTTTATTTCTTAAGTTCCAAATGCATGAGCTATCCCAGTTATTGTTATTGCTTTTTAGCAAAATTCCAGCGAAGCCAGCTAATATGTGCTATAGATTTTCAAACATGTGAAACTGGTTAAGACCCACTGGATGGCCAGCTAATGATAAATTTGTGTAAATGCTTTGTGTGTACTTGAATTATATATATATCCTGAAATTAGTCTATATATTTTCCTATACCTATCCATTAGGTCAAGTTTATTAATCACGTGTTCAAAATTTTTGTATTCTAACTTTTGGTATGCTTGTTTTGTCAATTACTGAAAAAAGATACGTTAAATAATCTCAGGCTGTGATTGGTATTTGTCTATTTCCTCAGCATCATATCTATATGGAACAACCCACATTTAAAGCTGCTATCCATTACTGGTAAACTAAAGCTTTGATTATTATGAAGCAAAGAATTATTTTTGCCTTAAAATTTATTTGCTATTACTATTAACTTTTGTATTTGGTTAGCGTTTCCATAGTATATAATTTCCAACCTTTTGGTTTCAGCTTTCTTTTATCCTCACGTGGCCTTTGTAAACATCGTTCTGTTCAATATTTTAAAATCCAGTCTAGTCTTTGATCTTCATCTTTTAACTTGAGTCTTTGGCTTTCTGTAGTTTCACGAAGATATATCTAGATAAAAATGTATTTTTATAGATCCTAGTAGGAAATCATTGGATTGCTTAAATGGAGATTGGTTACTTTTGCCAGTTGTAGAATTTCTCAGCCACTAATCTCTCTGTTTGGTCTTCTATGTCTCTTATCCTTTTATCTGTATTTTCATCTCTTGTCCTTTCATGCTTCACTATGGATAGTTATTTTAATGTATTATTCAATTTTCCGATTATTTTTTCTGCTGTCTGGACAGCTGATAAATGCATCCATTGTGTTCTTTGATTATTGTAATTTTTTTAGTTCTGGAATTTTTATTTGGTTCCTTTTCATGCGTACTACAATATTTTTAGTTTCCAGTATTCTTGCCAAAATTATCAAGTTTATGTTTATTACTTAACATAATAAACATGAATGCCTTATGGTCTGTGTCTGATCATTTCTACTGTGGCTTTGCTGTGATGATTATTTGTCTTTTGTAGATACTTATGTTATCCAACTACCATGTAAGCATTTTAAAGTTGGAATGCCCAAAATTGTAGCTGGAAAAAAAACCAACTTGTAAGTAGTTTGAGGCTTCAGGCATCAGTGTATTGTTTTAGAGTAGGTTTATTTTTGCTTCTGCCTTGTGCTTATGGGTGATTCAGCACTCGTTCAGTGTGCAGTATCAGTGAGGTCTGTCTTAGGAATAGCTGTTGCTTTGGTATCTACATAGCCCCTATGAGACAAAACTAGAGATTGTCATGCTGCTTGCTCTCTTCAAGCCTAGAAGTTCCTTTTCCACAACACATGACACATTCCTTTTAAATTCCACAACACATGACACATTCGTTTTAAATGTTATTCATGTGAAAGATAAACTCTCATAGTTTATCTTTACACAAACTTACTATAATCTTTATATTATCTTTATAAATTCTCATAGTTTATATTTACATAAACTTATATAATCTTTGTATTATCTCATAGAGTTTATCTTTAGATAAACTCTAATACTAGTATTAGCAGTTTGGGCACAGACAAGATAGCCTGAAGTTTACATACAATTCTCTGCTTAGTGGCTAGGAACTTACCCTTTTTCTTTGACTCCAAGAAGCACACATTCAATGATATACTATTATCTGAGTGAAAAAGTATTGCATCTGCTTATTTTTTAAAAATAATTTTCAAATTTTGATACTTGAACTCCTACATATAACAAATTGTGACCCACCTCACAAATAATCTGGCTGAAACAGTGTTTTATGACATTAAAACTGACTGTAAGGATGCTGATAACTGTTGTTCTATGAGTTTTCTAAAGCACTGATTAGTTGGGTCAAATAACTCCATTTATGGGCCAAAAAATTATGTCAAGTCAGAAGTTGAGATAAAAGAGATGAATAATGAATCATGCAGTCTATGCAGCATGTAAACTCTATGCGAATAGACAGAGAATTAATGATTATTAGGACTCTTATAGTAAGTCCCAGTTTTCTCAGTTCATTCTTAGAATAGATATTTTTGTATTATTACCTCTCAGAAATGTCCCAAATTTCTGTTATAGGGACAGTCAGTAATAAATGACTGTTTCTCCAAAAAAGTGACAGTTTTCATATCTCATCTTGTCTTTTTTTTTTTTTTGACAATCCAAACTAAATGAAACTTAAATTGATAGATTTATTTTATTTTATCTTACTTTAACTTTTAGCTTTAGAAAACTGGTGTCACAGGGGTTTGTTGTACAGATTATTTCATCACCTTGGTACTCAACCTAGCACCCAATAGCTATTTTTCCTGATCTTCTTCCTCCTCCCACCCTCCCAGCACAAGTAGGCCCCAGTGTGTGTTGTTCCCCTCGTTGTGTCTGGGTTTTCCCATCATTTAGCTCCCACTTATAAGTGAAAACATGCAGTATTTGATTTTCTGTTCTTGCGTTAGTTTGCTAAGGATAATGGCCTCCAATGTTCCTGCAAAGGACATATCTCATGCTTTTTTATGGCTGCGCAGTATTCCATGGTGTCTATGCACCATATTTTCCTCATCCAATCTGCCACTGATGGGTATTTAGGTTGATTCCTTATCTTTGGAAAGCTACATTTTATAGTAACACCTGTATAATTTGAATTTGATGATCTTTGGTTTGGAAGAGGAAGGAAGAGAAAATCAACTTTTTATAAGGTTAGGGAGGGAAAACAGATCTGAGAAGAATGACCCGGTAGATGGCTTTAAGAAATCAAAGGATAACATGACAGTCCATAGTGCCTGAAAGAGAAAGGGCTGCAAAAGCTTGATCAAGGCTTAATTATGATAAAGTTACAATTTTGCCCATGGCTGTTTATCCCTCTGTTCTTTGTAAAAGTCAGGCAGAAAGCATTGCCTTAGAGGAGCCTCAGGAAGGTTCAAGATTACAACCACTTCTTTCTCTGGATGATGTTCTTGAGGGAGAGAAGAACTGATAGACTAGCTTCCTCCACTGTCTGTGCCTGAAGAACTTGAGACCGAGGGATAAGGAGGGATTTATAGAGTAATTTGTGTCAAAGCAGCAAGCAGTTCATTTTGTTGGGATTCAGTTATCTGTTAATTCCTAGAACTGCACTTTTACAACAGTGACTCCAAGAGCACCATACTTTACATCAGGCACTGAATATTTCCACTTTAAACATATTTCTACATTTAACAAATTAGGATCTCAAGAAATAATAAAAATGTATGAAAAGAAATTAAAATTTAGCAAAGGA